TTTCACTTACTAGAACATGACAGAAGAAAGTAGTCAGCAAAAGATAGTTTGCGTGGAAGGTAAGATTTATATAAATTCTTCTTACGAGTCAATTAACCCCAATATAGTTGGGGTTTGTTTGGTAATATTGAGAGCATTATTACTTTGATCAATAGAAATCCTGTAAAACTTTCTAGCTGAAACGCTTTTGCTACTTCTGAAGAGGAAAGCAGGCTTCTGATCGAGAAGTACAATCATAGACAATCCGTTGTCAGTCACTGACACGTGCCACGTAATCGTCTATTTGGTTGGAATGAATAACGATGGATTTTTTTTTAAACCAAACAAACAAACAAACAAACAAACAAAAACCACGACCTCGTTAAATTCAGCGCGACGTCATTTTACTGAACGCGAAGGTTTTTTCATCATGTCGTGTAGGACCTCGAGGGTTACCAGGCCCTCCCGGTTCACCTGGTTCTACTGGTCCCCAGGGTCCTCCCGGACCAACTGGTAAAAGAGGAAGAAAGGGAACCGTGGGTCCCCCTGGACCCCAGGGAAAACGAGGTAGCAGAGGATTACCAGGACCCCCCGGACCTGCAGGCCCGTCTGGTAAATCAACACAACGTGAAGCAAGTCCTGGTGATGGACATCAGTTAGGTAAGAATTTTTTGTCCACAAAATATATGGTCAAATTTCACATATTAAAATTCTAATATAGCGGCTTGGACATACATCTAACCTTTGCTTTGAAATCAAATTAGAACTGATTTCTTCAACTGCTTAAACATAATTCGTTTTACCTTGAGTTTTTCTTTTTTTTTTTTGGTCATTACTGACAGTGGTAAAACGTGGAAACACTGTGAAATAATGAAATAATATTTTGTTTTTCAGAGTTACCACATTTCATTACAAAGCCTCCCCCTGCTTTGACGGTTAAAGAGAAACATAACGTGACATTACCTTGTAAAGCAGCTGGGTTCCCACCGCCCATAATCACGTGGTACAAAGGTGGTAAAGTGATAGAAGACGAAAGAAAACAGTTTAAGAAAAGAAAGTTGGAAATAAAGGAAATTCAGTTTGAGAACCGCGGTATCTACACCTGCACAGCGGAAAACCTGTTGGGTAGAGTTCAGTTATCGGTCAATGTAACTGTCAAAGGTATATAAACGGTCAGTTTTACTGAGCGCTATATTTGTGAAACTGCCTCACTTTCGTTAGACCTCAGAGTCTCAATATCCAATCAGACTTTATTCTCGCCGAGCTTTCACTTTAACCATCTGCAGCCTCTTTCAAATGCTAAATTCGTTAATAGATTTATATCTGACTTCATGTAACCTGATAATGGTGTCAACAGGATAAAGAATCGTTTTATCTTTTATTTTCCATTTATATCAATAGTTACTTTTCGTTTGTATAAATGTACGTATTTTTTAGTGTTTCATTTATTAGACGGGAAAAAAATGTATTCAGTCAGTTCACAGTAGGTAAAAGAGTAAAGTCTTCATACCAGCAAAGTGGCTCATCAGGCCGTTGCTTTCTGTGCTTAATTTCAGTAGCTTATACAGTGACCACTTTCCCCTAGATGGGATGCTAGTCCATCGCAGGGCTAAATCCCCACCCCCCTCCCTCCACCACCAGCAATAAATCCGTCTGTACCCACTGTGAGAATAAAGTGCCTTGCCTAGGGACACAACTCAATATCCCCAGCCAGGGCTTGAACCCGGATTACTCGATCCGGTGGAAAGCACACAAAACTATAAGCCACCTCGCCTCTACGGTTAGTCAATTATATAATCTCTAACATTTTGAGTCTGTTTATTCTTTCGTCATATCTGTTATTTTTGCAG